CGGATCGAATCGGACATTACGGAAAGAATCGGCTGCTCCGGAGGCTCCCCGGGAGCTGCCGGGAGCTCCCAGCCCCGAAGCAGGGCCGCTAGAGGTCTCCGGGCAGCCTGGCTCTGGATCTCCGGATCTCTCGGAGCGAAGCAAAACCGCGGCAGGTATTTGGGGATTAGTCAGCTCTTGGGAGTAGGGTGCTGTTTTGCAAGCCAGAGAGCAAGCACACCCTTCGCAGGAATGTGCAGTCGTGCCCCAGCGAGCTGACACCCCGACCCAGCGGCGTGGGCTTGCTCTGGAGTTGGCAGCCGTGCCGGAGGCCAAGCCTCACCGGTCTTGTTCGGCGAGCTTGTCACCTTCCACGCTTCTCAGCCGCGCCAGCTCTGCTTCGCCTTCTTTCATCTTCAGCAGCAAACTCCTGTGCTCCTGCGGCAGAGCGAGAGGCCGAGTTACAGGCAGGGCAACAAGTCGCAACACATGCTCCTTGGCCTCCGCTGCCGCGCAGGGAACTACAAACACCCAGGGAGCCAGGCAGGCTCGGCTCAGCCTCCCCGCTCGAGCTGCGGGTTGTTTTTCACCAGCGTTAAATTTACATGTGAGAGGCAGACAAGGGCAGCCGCAGAGATGACCGACAGCGGACGTCCCACTCCTTTTCCCCTAGGATACAGGCAAGGCACCAGCCCATCTCCTTCCCTGCTGTCGGGGCAGGGAAGGCAGTCCCAGATCATACTGCACTGTTAGATTTATGACTTTAATAGTATTATGAGCAGACCACAGCTTTTAAAAAAAAAAATAAAATAAATCAAGGCTGAAGGTTGTGTTAATGCCCCCACGAGAAGAAGAACCGGGCGGCTGTCTAGACTGCGTGCTCATTTCCAGGACACCTGGAAGAGTTTGCACAGACCGACCAGATCTTCTAGGCCTGAGAAATGCAAGTCTAAATCAGCAACAGTCGATTTTCAGCCGTTCCCAGCAGCTGGCTTTGCCTGACGCTGTTGGGTTAAACCTGGTTGGGAAGTCAAGCCCTCCGTACGGTGGGTACCCTGCAGCCGGTCCGAGACCCCTCGGCAAGGTCTGTGCTGAGCACTACCAAACTCATCACCACCAGGCTTTCCCATTCCCTCCCCAAGCAGAGCGTGACCACGCAGCTCCACGAATCCCACCACAGCTTCAGGGCCGGTACCTTCTCCATCCCTGCCAGGAGTCTCTGCAGCTCGTCCACCTGCACCTCCTTCTCCACCACACTCTTCTCCGCTCTCCGCAGGGCAGAGCTCGTTTGCTCCGCTTCCTCCTGGTACTGCGAGATCGTCCTCTGCAAACAAGATGGAGATGCCTTTACCCCTGACCCTCGCGCACCCGGACACCCAAGCCTTCTCACGAGCAGCGTTCCGAAGCCACA